AAGGAGGAAGGCCAGGTGTGGTGGCTCAAGCCTGTAATCACAACACTTTAGGGGCCAAGGTGGGCAGATCACAAGGTCAGGAGTTCGAGATCAGCTTGACCAACATGGTGAAAACCAGTATCTACTAAAAATACAAAAAATTAGCATGGTGGTGCACGTCTGTAATCTCAGCTGCTCAGGAGGCTGAGGCAGGAGAGTTGCTCCTTCTGTAGGGGGATGCTACATCGCTGTAATCTCTGCCTTTGTCATCGCATGATCTTGTGTGTCTTTGTCATCACATAGCCCTCTTCTTATAAGGATGTCGGTCATCTTGGATCAGGGGCCCACCCTACTCCAATGTGACCTCATCTTAACTAATTATATCTTCAATGACCATAGTTCCCAATAAGGTCACATTCTGAGGTACTGGGGATGGAACTTTGCCATCTTTCTTGGAAGGACATAATGCAAACCATGACACCCATACAAAGTGTTAGGGGCTGAGTTGTGTCCCCCCCCCCCCACATTCATATGTTGAATTCCTAATCCCTAATACGTCTAAAGTCCCTATCTCCAAATGTGGTCACGTTCAACAAGGTAATTAAGGTAAAAGTGAGATCATATGAATGGGCCCTAATCCAGTACAACAGGAGTTCTTATAAGAAGAGATTAGGGGCCGGATGTGGTGGCTCACACCTGTAATCTCAGCACTTTGGGAGGCCGAGCTGGGTGGATCACAAAGTCGAGAGTTCGAGAGCAGCCTGGCCCACATGGTGAAACCGCCTCTCTACTAAGAATACAAAAATTAGCCGAGCGTGGTGGCAGGTGCCTGTAATCCCAGCTACTCGGGAGGCTGAGGCAGCAGAATCGCTTGAACCTGGGAGGCGGAGGTTGCAGTGAGCTGAGATCATGCCACTGCACTCCAGCTTGGGTGACAGGGCAAGACTCTGTTTCAAAAAAAAAAAAGAGAAGAAGAAGAAGAAGAGATTAGAACACAGTCATGCACAGAGGGAAGACCATGTGAGGAGGACACAGTAAGAAGTCAGACTTCTACAAACCAAGGAGAGAGGCCTCAGAAGGAACCAAACCTGCCAACACCTTGATCTTGGACTTTCAGCCTCCAGAACCATGAGACAATCCATTTCTGTTAAGCCACACAGTCTGTTGTATAGCAAACAAATGCACAGATATTATAAGCAAAAAAGAGAATAAGAGACAGAATGATATCCCTCTGGGTAATGAAAGTACACCAGAAAGACATGCCCAGACTAAATGAAGATTCTAATATTCTATCTTGAAAGAAACCAAAAGTGTTAAGAAAATAAACAAAACATAGAAGAAAAATGGGGCCAGGTGCGGTGGCTCACACCTGTAATCCTGGCACTTTGGGAGGCTGAGGCAGGTGGATCACCTGAGGTCAGGAGTTTGAGACCACCCTGGCCAACATGGTGAAACCCTGTCTCTACTAAAAATACAAAAATTAGTCAGGCATGGTTTGGCAGGTGCCTGTAATCCCAGCTACTCAGGAGGCTGAGGCAGGAGAATCACTTGAACCCGGGAGGCGGAGGTTGCAGTGAGCCAAGATTATGCCACTGTCCTCCGGCCTGGGTGACAGAGCAAGACTCTGTCTCAAAAAAAAGAAAAAAAAAAAAAGAAAAATCAAGTCAGAATTAGAAGAAAACTGAGAAATAAAGTAATAGACCAAAGGAACAAAAAGTTAAACATTTTAGGTGTAAATACTAAACTACACGGAACACAAAAGTGAATAAACAGATAAATAGAAGTTGAAAAGTCCAAAATTTTTAAAAATCAAGGGAGAAATAACAAGAGATGAAAAGCTTGAAGAAAAAGTAACAAATATTCAAAATCTATAAGAAGATCTGACATTTAGATAATAGGACTCCCTGCAGAAGAAGCTGAATCCATGGGGGGAAGTACTGTAAATGATCTCAAAGAAATTTCCCATAAATTAAAAAAGAGATTTGAAATTCCACATTGAGAAAACTTACAGCACACCTGAGAATATCGACAAGAACAACCAACACCAAGACACATTCTTTGTAATTATTGTACTTTAAAGAAAAGGAGGAAGGCCAGGTGTGGTGGCTCAAGCCTGTAATCACAACACTTTAGGGGCCAAGGTGGGCAGATCACAAGGTCAGGAGTTCGAGATCAGCTTGACCAACATGGTGAAAACCAGTATCTACTAAAAATACAAAAAATTAGCATGGTGGTGCACGTCTGTAATCTCAGCTGCTCAGGAGGCTGAGGCAGGAGAATTGCTTAAACCTGGGAGGCAGAGGTTGCAGGGAGGCGAGATCACGCCACTGCATTCCAACCTGGGCAACAAGAGTCTCAGAAAAAAAAAAAAGAAAAGAAAAAAGAAAGAAAGAAAAGGAGGGAAAAATAAACTATGAACATTTAAACAAAGACAGTGACTTACAAGGGAAAAAAAAATATGTTCTCAGACTCTTTGACAGCAACACTTTATGCTAAAATAAAATAAATAACATATTAAGGACACTCAAGAAAAGGTAAGCCCAGAATTTTATACCTAGCAAAACTGACTTTCATGTACAAAGAGCACAAACTATTATGACCATGCAAGCATTAGACTTTCAGTTACTTCTAGAACTACAACTAAATGAGTGTTATAAGGAAAAGAGTATAGTATGAATTACTGGATAGCTCAGACAATGTAGACATAGCACATTTATTTTTAAACTCTGAGCTGAATAGGGAGAGTATATCAAAAATTATTTTCAATAATTATGTTAGTCATGGTAGCTTTAGAATGGTCATCCTGAGGCTACTGTGGAGGTAATGTGGGATAATGATGGAATACTCTATGTCCTTGAGGACCAGGATTCTGATGTGGAAGAAAGAATATGCTTTTGTAATACAGAAGAGATTAATTAAAAACCATATGGTGCTTATTTTGAATTGGATATCAGTATGAACTCTTGGTGTATATTATTTTTTTAAATGTCCACTGAAGAGGTCTAGAAACAATGACCAACCCCCTAGCACTGACCCTCCCTAGTAACCAGACTGTGATCTTGATAAGCCATTTCTCACTAAAAACAAAAACAGGCCGGGCACTATGGCTCACGCCTATAATCTCAGCACTTTGGGAGGCCGAGGTGGGCAGATCACAACGTCAGGAGCTCGAGACTAGCCTGACCAGCATGGTGAAACCCCATCTCTACTAAAAATACAAAAATTAGCTGGGCATGGTAGTGTGCGCCTGTAGTCCCAGCTACTCAGGAGGCTGAGGCAGGAGAATCGCCTGAACCTGGGAGGAGGAGGTTGCAGTAAGCGGAGATTGCACCACAGCACTCTAGCCTGGGCGACAGAGCGAGACTCCATCTCAAAAAAAAAATCACAATAGCACGTGAAAGGAAGCATCTCTTTACAGGAGTATTCCAGCTAATAAATGGAAATGAAATGGTAGAACCAGACTATCAGCATTTTGCAATCCTTGATGAATCAGTGGGCATAAGCCTTGAGCATCAGTAGATGCTGTCCTCACAGACAGGCAGCCAGTCACTGTGTGGCTGTCACTGAAGACACACTACCACCTACCATCTTGCCAAAAGGGACTGGGCCTGCGTGGAATCAGGACTCTGGATTCGGCTGCCAATGTCCAGGAAATCCAGTGGACAGAGGACCACACTGAACTGCACCATGAAGATGCAATCCACAAAGTCCAGCCTGTAGGATGCAACAGCTCAAATTCTTCAGGTTCTTTAATAGATAAGTTGTATGGAAAATACAGGAGGCTGGGCGCGGTGGCTCATGCCTGTAATCCCAACACTTTGGGAGGCCAAGGCGGGTGGGTCACCTGAGGTCAGGAGTTCAAGACCAGCCCGACCAACATGGTGAAACCCCATCTCTACTAAATACAAAAAATTAGCCAGGCATGACGTCACATGCCTGTAATCCCAGTTACTTGGGAGGCTGAGGCAGGAGAATTGCTTGAACCTGGGAGGTGGAGGTTGCGGTGAGCCAAGATTGTACCATTGTACTCCAGCCCGGGCAACAAGAGTAAAACTCCGTCATAAATAAATAAATAAATAAATTAATTAATTAATTAAAGGAATGGAGAAGAAACCTGTAGATTAAAATGGACTTAAAAGGCAGAGCAAAAACTTGTTGATGGAGAAGTCTGAATGACTGTGTCTAGAGATGCACGCTTATGTGAGAAAACTATAAAGAAACCCAGGTAGGGGACTGCCGTGGGACTCAGGCTAGGGGTCACTTTTGGGAAGCAGGAGGAGTTGAGCTCTGTCTGGCAGTTGCAGGGCCTTTGGTGACTGGCCAGGTTCTCTTTCTTGACCTGGGTGGTCATTATAAAGGCATTTGCCTTATAATAACTCGTTAAACTATACTTTCATTTTGTGTAATTTTTTATCCGCGTTTTATTTTATGATCAAGAGGTTTTAAAAATCTATCTAGCACAGTAGCTGGAACCCAGACCTCTGAGACTTTAGCCTCTTCTGCCTCCCCATCGCCTGGTGATGTGGAATCGACTTCCCTGTGCTGGGCACCGTGCTTGACGCTGTCTGCTCCTTCGTTTACTACCCTGCTGCCCAGCCTCACTGTGGGCTCTGAGAAGGCGGGACCATGTGTCCCTTGTTCACTTTGCTGTCCCTAGCACCTGGCGCCTGGCACTCAAAACATATTTGTTGGGCAAGTGAACCTGTGACTATTTTGCGGTTGTGGCTATTGATCCTCAGTTCGTGCAGCTGACAAATTCCCGAGCTGTGCTTCTCCGCCAGGGCCCACGGAAGCCAGAGGGTGTTTCTGGCATTTAGGTCCCGCTCCAGTTTGCAGGAAGGGCCATGAAGCCTCCCCACAGAGCAGCCAGGCTGCAGAGACCACTGTCATTCTCTGATAGAGCTGTCTCTGGGACAGATGCCCCTGGCCTGGCCACCTGCCCCTCCTCCCTGGACCTCGGCCCCTGTAGGATCTGCTGTCCCAGCTTCCCCCTCAGCCTCGTGTGCTGTGGTTCCCCTCAGGCTCCAACAAGAGAAGACAGACACGGTCCGCTGCATCAAGTCCTGCCGCCCCAACGATGTCACGTGCGTGTTCGACCCCGTGCACACCATCTCCCACACCGTCATCTCGCTGCCCACCTTCCGCGAGTTCACCCGCCCTGAAGGTGAGTGGAATGGGCCTGGGGGTCCCAGGGCCCCCTAGGGCCCCCCTCGGCTTCAGCTGAGGGCTTGGCCTGCAGGAGCCATTCCTTGTAAGACGTGGCCCGAGCTTTGAAATGCGGAACTTTCTTTGCGTCTGTGTATCGCCCCCTGCTCCCTGCACCCACCGGCACGGCAGCATTTGTTAGCCCCTTCTCCGCTCTCTAAATGCCTCTTCTCAGCTCTCCGTTTACGGGTCTTTGTTGTGGGTCACAGTTGTTCTGCAGAGAGCCATTAGCGCTGATTCTGTGACCAGCACTGGAGAATGAGGGAGGGCCTCCGGGAGGAAGTGACGGCCAGGCTGGGTGCTGGGTGGTGAGGTATTCGAGTGAAAGGGGGAGAAGGGGAGAGGAGGGTGCCCAGTGGAGCAGGACGTGGCCAGAAGGGTCTGGAGGTATGGGGGACAGTGTGGGCGTTTGAGGAACTCAGCCAAGGTGTTCTGCTGGAGTGGTAGAGCTTGGCAGGAGGTGGGCTGGAAGGATAAACAGGAGGCTAAAATTGGAGTTGGGCCTTCAACCCCCAGGCTTGGGGGAACCATCGGAAGGTTGCAGTGGGCGAGGTTTGCATCTAGAAACATCATCCTGTTGACCCAGGGCCAGGCGAACTGGAGGGGCCTGACTGGAAGCAGGAAGCTCAGGTGTAACCCAGTCAGTGCTCCCACACCCTGGCCTGGCTCTCTAGGAAGCTCCTGGCATGCAGTGTAGACATGTTGTGTAGCCTGCCATCAGTGCACCGTTTCTCTGGAGCAGGGCCAGGGCTGCGTGCTCCCAAGCCTGGCAGAGGGCTATGGATGGAGCACTGCCCTGTTCACCTCGCTTTCGGGCTGTGCTGCCCGTGTGCCTGGTCCCCAGCCATCCCCGCCCTCTAGGGAGTCCCCATCCCTGGCCTGCAGAGAAGCTTGCCATGATGAGTTCATTCAGCAGCGGTGGACGGAGCCCCTCTGCGTCAGGCTCTGGGGACATGGTGATAAGAAGGGGTCCTCCTACCCTCTCAGGGGAGGCATACAACGGAGCCAGCCATGAGGACACCAGTGTTTACACCATGACACAACCATGCAGTGGGGGATGGGGGAGGAGAGGCTCCCCCAGCACGTGGTTGCCCAAGGAGCAGTCCCCAGTCCCAGCCCCCCAGGCTTGCCCCTCCCGAAAAGGAATGGCACTGAATCGCCACAGGGTGGCACAGACTCGGGTCAGAGAAAATAACTAACTGGTATTTGCCTTTTGCAAAATGATGGGGTTTCACCAAACCACATACAAATCCTTCCCAAATCCCCAGTGGCTGGTTTTGTGGCCTCTCGGGCCAGCCCCAATCTGAGTGTTGGTTATCGCAGGGAGCTGAGTGCCGTTGGGACACCTGTTAGCATCTCGGGCCCAGGAAATCCAGACCCTGACCCTAAGTGCTGAAAGGACCTTTAGTGGATCCCCGCTGGCTTCCTTCCTCACCTTACAGGGTGACGAAACTGAGGCCCACAGAGAGGACTCCCCGCAGACAGCCCAGAGCTGGGGCTGCCCTGCTTCACTGTCTGATCTGGGAGATGGATGCACCCCCCAGAGAGCCCAGGCCACCCTGAGCGGTGGCCCCCTGACCCACAGCACTATAGATGGGAGAGGGGCCCACTCCTCTGGCCTTCCTGCTCTCTCCCTCTGTCCCCCCACTCGCTTCCCTCCTCTGGTCCCCACCTTCATGAATATTCACAGTGGCTGATGACTTCTCACCAGCCGTGCCTCTGATTAGCTCTGTGTCCCCAAGGAAGATCCAAAATCTCTCAGTTTCCCCCTCGATAAAACAGGGATAGGCTATGATATAGGAAGGTCCAGACCCCCTCCACCCTCCCCGCACGGGGGATCTCTGGCTTCATTGAATTTGCCTCATGAAAGGGCCCTGGGTTAGGTCTTCATTCCCTGAGGGCAAGTTCCTGGGGCCGAGTGACTGGGACTGGGGCTGGGGCCAGGCTGTGCTGAGCCCTTCTCCATGCTGTGCCTCTGCAGAGATCATCTTCCTCCGGGCCATCACGCCACCGCAGCCTGCCAGCCAGGCTAACATCATCTTTGACATAACGGAAGGGAACCTGCGGGACTCCTTTGACATCATCAAGCGCTACATGGACGGCATGACCGTGGGTGAGTGGCCGGGAATATCAACTCTATCCAGGCACCCCTCCCCGTCCACCCCCAAACCTCTCTGGCCCAGCCCAACTCCCATCTGAGTCCCCTCCCCAGGTTCAAGCCCACCCAACCTTCAGGGCCTAGAGCCGAGGCCACCACAGCTCCCAATCAGTCTCAGCCGGAGAAACGGCCAGAGTGGGGACTCCTGCCTGGGATCCCACCCTAGCTGTGCCACCCGCTCTCTAGGTGACCCCTCTGGGTCTCGGTCTCCCTGCCTATAAAATGGATGGGTTCCAGAGAACTCTGCTTCTCACAACCATGAATTTCAAATGATACCACCCAAGTAAAGTGCTTGTCCTGGGGCTGGCACAGTCCCGCGGTCAGTGGGAGCTAAGAGGATTGTCATTCTTGGGGTGCAATGGGAGGGACAGCAAAGCAGGAATCAGAGGACCTGAGCTCTGGTCTCTCAGCCTTGGAACTAGCCAGACTCACCATGTGGCCTTGAGCAGTAGTCGTCCCCTCCCCACGCATCAGTTGGTAAGAGGACCAAGGCCACTCTGTGTGCACAGCCCATCGGAAGGGGGAACTCACTGCTCTTTCTCCCTGGAGATCCGGTGTTTGGGGAGCGGGAAGGGAGGCTGGGGCATGAGGGGACTGTGGAAGTCCTGTTGATGGATGCAGGCTGGGGAAGTTGTTTACAGGCTGGGGCAGGGCCCTCCCTGGCTAGGAACGGGCTTTAATGACAACTTACTCATGCGAAAAAATATCCAGGCCCACTCCACTCCGCACACTTGTTTCTGTCATTCACAGCCCCTCTCCTGAACCGTCACATTTGAAAAGATTTACAGTCATGGGAAATGAAAACGGTGGCATCTGCCATTTTGGACTTAGATTTATACTCTGAACACTTTCAAAGCAGCTGAGCAACGGACGGACAGTCCCTGCCCTCCCCTGGGCCTCAGTTTCCCCATTGTGAACTAAGAGGAGTGGGCTTCATAGTCCCTTAGGCGCTGGATTCCGGGAGGCCCTAACCAGAGCCGGCGACCGTGCAGTGCGCACTGCGCAGAGCGTTTGGGGGCGCAGCCTCCAGGTGGCGCTGTTGGACCTTGGAAGCTCAGCCCTTGCCGGCCAAACCCTGACGGTTGTTAAAACCGGCAGCTGGAGAAAGGGAATCGTTATTCCCCTCTTGCCAAAGAGCCATTTATAGCACCTTTACAAGCTTTTAAATGGGTTTGCGTGTTGTAAACATGACTGAGTCACTGGGGGGGCTCCCCACGCCAGCCTCCTCCTGCGCTAACTGGCAGCAGGAATAATTAGTTAATTACAATTAATGGTGCATTAGCCCTCGCGTGATTCCAAGGGGAAGGCACATGGTTCGGTTATCGGCTGTTGTGAAACTTGCTGCTTGCCCTTGAGTCACTCCCCACTCTGGGCCTCAGTTTCCCCCATTGTGAAATGAGAGTTTAGATGAAGAGAACCTTGAGGGCCCTCCAGGCCCCTGTGCAGGAGGGCAGGCAGGAGGAGGTTGGATCAGGGGTTCGTCCTGCCCTACTGGGTGGGTGGAATATGCACCCTGACACTGGCCCACAGCCACCCCCCGGCCCAAAGGGGCCAGCCCTGTGCTTGATGCTGGGCCTGCAGGTGTGGCTGGGACATGGCCCAGCCCTCAGGTGATTTCCAGATCTTGGAACATGGGAGTTTGGAATCCTAGGACCTTCCAGTTCACTCACTCATTCTTTCCGTTTCGGAACTCTTCCTGAGCCCCTGCCTGCGCCTGACCCTGGGCTGAGCCTTGCAGATACAGAGAGGGATAAATACCACGTACCCCTGTGGGCTTTGCATCTCAGCAGCAGGGAGAAGCCACCCCATATCAGATCATCAACATGTGATGCCAAAATAGGCATGCACAGAGAGACAGGCCTTGACGGCCTGTGGAGGCTCTCTCAGGGGAAGTCTCCTGGCAGGTTTTGCGTCTTTAGTTCCCACCTACATCCTTCCTGGGGTGACCCCAGCCAAGAGGTGGGGCAGCTGCTGGGCCTGGAACCAGTGCCCACCAGTGCCTTTCTCTGGCTGCATCTGCTCCAGACAGAAACAACCTGGGAGTGTCTGTTTCTCAGCTTCCCATCCACTGGGGCAGAAAATCCTGGCATGTCAGAGCCTGGAGGCTCCTAGAGACCATCTCTTCCAACTCCTTCTTCTGTAGGAGGGGAAACCGAGGCCCGGAAGGGCGAGGGGGCTTCCAGTCTTCTCACAGTGAATCAGGGACACAGTGGGCAATGGAACAGAGTGCCAGGGTGTGAGAGATGATCGCAGGCACTGTCCCTGCAGCGAGCTTCTGGGAACGGAATGTGGATGAGGCCACAAGGACCCAGCAGCTTCCCCCAGCACAGTTGGTCACGGGTGCCCTGGTCTTTGGAATTCCGGGCTGGGGCTGCGTGAGGGAGGGCCCCAGCCTGGCCCTTGCTGTTGTCGTGCCTGTAGCCCTGTGTGCTGGGGAGGCCCCTGCCTCTTCCGCACCTCGGTCTGTGTGCAGGATGCCCAACCGGCCGGGCCCCCGGAAGTGAACCGGGGCCCAAGGCAACCCAAGGGGAAGAACGAAAACAAGGGGGCAAGCCCTGCGTGTTGGGACCTAGGCTGCGTTGCTGGCTGGCTCCTGTCTCTGTCCCCACTGCGCTGATCTTATTTCTCCGTCTGGGATCTCTTCCCTGAGCTTCCATATCCCTACTTCCTTCTCCCTCCTCTTTTGCCCAGAATAACTTCCATATGTCCTGGGAGCTTCCTGGTCCCTAGGGGCAGCCATCCCGGCACATGGCTCCTGGCCTGTCCACCTGGCAATAGATGGTTCCGCCGTTGGACTCGAGCCCAGCCTGAAGCAGCCCTGGAAATGTGGGGTTGAAACCTCACCGGCTCCTTACCGTTGCTGGGCACCTTCACCCCCGCATTCCCCAGTCCTCACAGACACTGCCAGCGACGGGTCATGATTGTCTCCCTTGGGCAAAGGAGGGAGCTGAGTTAAATGACCGCCTGAGACTGTGCAACTGAAAAACCGCAGGGCCTGGGGTGTTTTCAGACTTGTTTTTAGCAGTGCGGTTCTGATTTCAAGCAGTGACTTAGACAGAAACTCTTGATGGTGGTGGAGAGGAGGAAAGCGGCTTCCAGGGCTGCTGCTCCTGAGTGGAGCGTGGGAGGCTCCTGAGCCTCCTGGGAAGCCCCGTGCAGCTCTGTGCTGCCTGCAGCGCACGGCAGGGAATGCCGCCTACTCACGGTGCTTGCTGAACACTTGTCTGCTCTAGGCCATGCCCTGTGTGGACACTGGGCACCGGATCAGGAGGGCTTCCTGGAGGAGGCGAGGACTGAGCTAAGTGTCCTTGCATGTGAGGGAGTGACACTTAGTGAGCACCCGCGATGACCAGGAGCCAGGGTTTCATCATCGCCAGGACCCCGTGACGTGGTGGGATTATCTCCTCTAACAAAGGAGACAGCGAGGGCCAGAGAGGGCAAGAGACTTGCCCGAGGCCACTCAAAGCTGGGGCCGGAACGGGCCTGGAGCCCAGTCTTCCCCAGACACCGCACCCCTGCCCCCGCCAAAGAGCAGGTGTCCAGGGTTGACTGGTGCTGTCGTGGGCAAAGTTGCTGTGAGTTTGGATGTCCCAGAAAAACAATCAGTGCACAGGCCCCCGGGACTCGCCGTGTTCAGTCCTCCCAAAGTAACAGAAGAGGGAGAAATGCCCCGAGTCCACTAAGAACCTGCAAGGGCCGGGTCTTCCTCTAATGTAGCCTTGAAAGACCCGTTCTCGGCGGGGATCGAGGAGCCCGCAGCAGAGCCCACGCCGCTGTCTTTGTAAAGCCCCCTTGCATTCCTCTTTAACCGGCTGTCAAAAGAAAGATGAAGAATGCGTTTTCGCCCTGTGCAAAAATGCTCCATTAATGCCCCAGGGATTCTCAGGCCACTACAAAGCCTCCTTATCCGGCTCTGGATTCATTCTCAGCTCTGCAGGCTGTAATCCGGGGCGCTCTGGGAAGAGATCTTTCAGGTAATATCTCCTGAGTGATGACTAATGGGGGAGCCCTGGCTGCAGCAGGGGCGTGCTGTGTATCATCAGTATGCGGATGAGACAGAAAGGCAACTCGGGGCAACCCGGGATCCCCGGACCCCTGGGCTGTGGCTGCTGTCTGAGCCTCAGACCTCCCCTCCAGCCTCCAGATCTCCACTTCCTTTGAACTCTCAGGCCAGCCACGTGAGTGTCTGGCTCACTCCACTCACCCTCAAGACCCAGCATGTGTGTGATCACTTCCAAGAAGCCTCCCCTGACTGCTCTGGGGTCATGGCTGTGTGATAGGAGGGCCTGGCCTGCAAAAACGCCCTCGCTCTTTCTCCAGGGCGGGAAGTCTGTGTGCCATGAGGCTTGTTTGTGGCCACATTTCTGTTAACACCCTGCCAGTGCCAGGAGGAGCTAGAGGGCCTGCAGGTGAAGTAATTCTTTGGCCTACGGACGCATTTTGCACGTGGACCTCCTGACCCTTGGGCCTACCAGGTTGCAGGCAGCTACAGAGTAGTCTGTAGTTTTTTGCAGGCCAGCCCCTCCTGTCACATGGACATGACTGTGGGGCAGTCAGGGGAGGCTTCCTGGAAGAGGTCACACACGTTCTGGGTCTTGAGGCCGAGGAGTGAGCCAGACAAGTGGGACACCCAAACTCACAGCCATGTCTGTGGCTGGCCCATGAACAGCGCGACGAGAGGCAGGGAGCCGGGAAGGGAGGGCACAGCATGCGGTTTGGGGCTACTGGAGCATCCAGGGTACAGGGAGGGTCGAGGGGAGGCTGAAAGGCGCTGCAGGGCCCGGCCTTGGTGGATGCTGTCCTGGGGGCCATGGGAGCCACGGGAGGTCTGTGCTGTCCCCTGGGAGGTTTGTGCTGCCCATGGAGCTTCCAGATCCTGCTGCTTTATTTAACCCGCCGGGCCTCCTGCAGCTTGAGGTTGCGGTTGAGGTTGTACCCGCTCAGCAGGTAAGAAG